TGCTAGAATAGCTATAGACAAGTAAAAAGTTAAACTAATATTAGAAGTAGTGATAGGACTACTGATATAAGATGATACTTGTAAAGTATTACCTTTTTAATGTACTAATCTGTTATTCATGTTAGAATTTAAAAACTAGTGTATAATTGACTATAGTATATAATAATTGATTATTAGTATCTGTAGTCCTATTTATCACTAATTAGAAGTATATAAAAATGTTCGTAATAAAGCTACAGAACAAAAAAGTAGATAAGAAAATTCTCAAATATAAAAGAGTTACTAAGAGATATATAGTTAGCATTATTTAGTCTTATATCTTTTATATACAAAATAAAATTCAAACATAAATTCAAAATATATAAATCATATGAACTGATAAATATTTTGTATATACAGTATAAATAACTATCATCTACTTTAATCAAGACAAAAACCTGTTAAAGCAATAAAGCATGTTGTGATAGTTATGTGCAGAAATTCATATTTGTAATCATACTTCATGGTACATAAATATGTTTATATAATTTGTAAACTGTGATACAAATGCAAGTGTGTAACTTATTACCAGCAGATAATAATACGAAGCAATAGCAATAGCAAATTTATTATATAAATATTTTAGCAAAAAATACAACAATGTTCACAATGTTTTTGAGTTAAAAAACTAATGATTTCAAAATATTTTGTTCTATCCAACTTTTTATGCAAAGCAAAGCATGAGCAGTTTCAGGATTAAGACAATTTCTAATTTTTATAATCATTTCTAACTGCAACAGAAAAAATTTCCTTACATAGAACACTAGTTTCCTGAATAGCTAGATAGCTATGTGCTATTTTTGCTAAAGTTGAAAATCGATGCCTATTGACACCCACCAATTAAGAGAATCTTCAGAAGAAGCAGGTGAAGATAAGTACAGATCTAATTCTTCTAGTAGTGGTTCGTCAATTGCTGTTCTAACAAAAATTTAAAAAGATCTCTTTTTTTATTTTTAGAAGCAGAGGTAGTAGTATCTGTATTGGTTGCTGCAGAAATTTGTAGCATATATTGAAGCATTAAATAGCGCAAACTTACAATAGCTATATTTCTTTTTTCTCTATACTTAAATGTTGTAAGCTTCTAAGATGGATCAAGAATTGCAGCAACAGTAATAGATTCATCAAGAAGCTGCTAATATTTATTTAACTTATATCATATAGAATCTGTAATCATGCATTCTTCATCTAAATATGTTCCTTCATTAATAAAATTATCAAGATGTTGAAGAATTCCTCTAAAGCATAGACAAACATCAGACATTGTTGAGTAGGAACTGGATGAAAGTAGTTCTGTTGCTTGAAGTATAGGATAAAGAATGCTAATCATGTTATCAATTTTTTCTACTCATTATTGTTAAGAAAAGTATATTCAAGTTTATATTTAGTTATAAGAAGGTCAAGTTCTGCATGCATTGATTTGAAACGATGTAACATTTCATATGTGCTATTCCAACAAGTAGATATGTCAATGTTTGGTATAATATATTGTTTTTATTCATTATATAAAAATGGCAAAGATCATCATACATAATAGTTGAATGGTGAATCTTAGCAACAAAACTTCTAACTTTTTCTATCAATTCTGTTTGTAGTTGCATTCCATGTCTAACTGCAATATTAAGAATGTGAGCAGCACATCTATAATAGTATTATAAATAACAAGAGTAAGTAAAATATATAAAAAAATCAGTAATATGATTTATTTAATTTGTTATACAAATCTATAGTGCTTAAACTCAAATTTATTACATTCTTTTTCTAATAGATTACTGCATAGAATCATCTCTGAGTTATTATCTGTTATTAATCTAATGATTTTATCATTGATTTTCATATCATTGCAAAGTTGAGTATGCTTTTTTTTTGTATATATACTAGTATGTCTTGATTCAAAATGAATCAAATCTAGTAAAAGTCATTTCATTTCCTATTTATTATTAATAAAATGTGCTGTAACTCCAAGATAGGCTTGATTCAAAGATGAAGTCCAAATATCTGCTGTAAGAGCAATTTTATTATTCAAAGTGCTAAGTTTTTCTGAAACTAGTATTCTTTGAGCTTTGAATTGAGACATTATTTTCTCTTTTAAATAGGTACATGTTGGTGAAATATATCGTAAATCAAGAATATTTATCATTTTACAAAAACAAGTGCTTTTGACAATTTTAAATAGGGCTTGATTACTAATAATAAAATTTAAAATAGATGTAGTGCATTCTTTTATACGTTGAGTATCTTCATTACCATATGGTTTTTTGGCTAATGATTTGTGCTTTTGATTCAAGGTAATGTTATATTTATGCTGCTTGTTAAGGTGGTCTGTCAGAACACCTGTTGATGTTTTAATACTATATTCTTGAGGACAATAATCACATCTAACAATAGCAGTTTTATTGGAATCTACTTTTTCATGCATAAAATTCCAAACTGGTGATGGTTTTTTACTAGCATCATGTTTAGTTATTTGAGGTAACAAAGTAACAGTGGTTTCAAGTTCAAAAGTTTTTTTATTATTAGTATTACTTGATTCAGAATCTGTATCAGATGGATCAAATTCTTCATCAGATATAGTTAAGTCCTCCATGATATGTATTGGATAGTAATTTTTTTTGATAGTTTGTGTATTTATACTCTTTTACTCTTTAATTAATTAATTATTTATTTAACTCGGTTATTTATTATTTTAACATTTAATTTATTTTACTTTTACGTCAATTATTAATTAAGTCATTTTTATTTCTTAGTTATTTTGTTTAATTTATTTTGTTGATTAATACTATTATGACCTTATTACAGTATTAATAAAAATTTGATTTTTTTTGTAGTGTTTGTTGATTAATACTATTACGGCCTTATTACGACATAAATAAAAATAATAATATACATTAGATGATGATAGTATATTATTAAAATAATTAATATTTGAGAAGAATTCTAGCTTATACAGTTGAATCGACTAGAGCGGCCCCTCAAAGTGCAGATAAATGACAGCTGCAGTATAATAATAGCCAATCGATGACAACCTGAAAGCTATTTAATCAATACAATTGTTCATGAAGAGGTTTGAGGAACAGCAAAGATAGTGCCCAATCCAAAGTAAATCCCTCTTGTCTGTAATCAATCACAAATTAAATTATTTATGTTGGATTCAATTGTGATGGATATAATCTTTCACCAGTTTAATATATATATAACATTAATGGTCTCTGCTGTATGTTTAAGGTTTAAAATTAATATCGATTACTGTTTGTACAATACAATACAATTGGTGAATTATCAGCTGCAGCTGTAGTTGCACTATTGATCTGCACTTTTGGAGGCTGTCCTGGTTGATTCATTATAGTTATTGTATGGGTTGTAGAAAATAACCAAATTTGCACAGGTCCAGTTTCACATAGCCTAAGGCTATGTGAAATGGGTTGATCTTGCAAATTTAGTTATTTTCTACAACCCATACAATAACTATATTATTGCACAAGTCTGACGTAACAACCTGTGTGACACCTTCTACATTAATAAAGGGACTTCTAATGTTGATATTATGAAGGCTCTGTCCAATAAGAATTTTTTTAAAAAGTGAGAAACTAAATCTAATCAAGCAAAATTCCAATTATATATAACCTTATATGAATATTTTTAAAAAAAAACAAACTTTAATCATGTAAAGAATCCTGTTCAATGAAAACTAAAAATAAAAATAACATAATTCCATTTAATGTAATATAGAAGCGAAGACTTAATAATAAATAACATGCTTAATGATAGTTTAAAAACAGAAGTTAAATAAGAGTAATTTAGTATATTAAAAATTATAAAAGAAAAAGATTTAATAGACTAATCTAACAAGAATTTAAAGAAAGTAACAATTAATAATATATAACTTCGTCCACCAAGAATTTTAAAGTAAATGCTAAAAACAAGATTCTGTCTAGTAAGAATTTTAAAAAAAGTGATAGAAATTTTAAAAAAAATGCAAAAATGTGTAATTCTATTTAATATGAATTTAAGAACCAACTAATTATATAATGATTATTCCAAAATATATATATATATATATAAAAAATTAATGCTAACATGTCCAATGACAATTTAAAAAGGAAAGACCTAATAATGCTCTATCAACAATTTTAAAAATATGAAGACAGATCAATTTAACGTTAATAAAAATAAAATAACTAAATTGGAACACTTTCATATTTGATAAAATATGAAAGTGTTACGATTTAGTTATTTTTTTAAACACATGCTAAAATAAATGAAAAAAAGCACAGGTTGTTATATAAGACCTGTGCAATAATATACAGTTAATCCTCTATAAGTATACTTATCAGAGAAAAATGCACTTATAGAGGGTTATGCACTTATAGAGATTCTAATTATGATGTGTTTTATAACTGGTTAACAATGTAAGTAAATGTGCATTAATAGAATGTGCACTTATGAAGGGTTGACTGATAACAAGCTTTGTCATATAGGTTTAATATAACTTTTTTGAAAGCTTATTCACACAGGTACCTCTATAATTGCATATTTGGAAAATTTTTATATTACATTGTATATAGAAAGGTTTAACTATAATATTAATTCTATATATTAAAATCTTACAAATTTTGATTATAGTTTAAGTTATAGCTTAACTAGTTTAAACCATAGTTAAAACAGCTAAACTAGCTTAAGCTGTAGCTTAAACTTTAGCTTAAGCCATAGTTTAATTAACTTAAATCATGGCTTATATTATGCTTTGGCTATAAGCTAAGCCATATTAATAGTTATAGCTTAGATTATAGCTGCTAAAACTATGGCTTAAGCTTGGCTAAAACTTTATAAGCCAAGCCAAGCCAGCCAAGCTAATTACATCTCTAAGCATGACATGCCAGAAAATAGTCAATAATTTTTAATACAAGTTGCTTTTTTATAATAAAATAATTAAGCCCAAAGATTTTTTCACTATATAAAAATCTCTTGTTATAATAGTGAACCTCTATATAGTGAATTTATAAATAATAGTGAAAAAAATCTTAAGCTTAATAATTGAATTATAATTAAAGTAATAAATATTAAAAATCTTTTAATAAATTCACTATAATTAAAAAAGAGATTCACTATAACAAGAGATTATATTTTTTTTAAAAAAAATTGACTGTTTTCAATTTATGACATGCAATGACTGTTTTCTATTGATGCCATGCGATGATTTTTTTATTAGTAGTGCAATTTGCACTATACAATTGGTTTTGCATGTCATACATCGTGCACAAGCATGCAATATTGACAAATTGCACGACTATTCTTTTAACTGTAAAACGAATTCCATGCAGAAGTGCGCCAGTACAATTTTAGAAGATTGTACAACTGCCGCCATTGCAAATAAAACTTGTTGGTACGTTTGCTGTTTTTTTTTTTACTTTTTTTTTTAAATCGAAATGGAACAAATAATTAACGATTTTAAACAACTAAATTTCGATGAGTGTAAAAAATTGGCAAATGCAAACGAACCAAACGGAATTTATTTACTAGGTTACTGTTACGAATTTGGAATTGGAGTTGAAAAGAATGAAAACAAAGCATTCTGTTACTACCAAAAATCTGTAGACCAAAAAAATTCCAACGGAATTTATAAAATTGGATATTGTTATGATTTAGGAATTGGAGTTGAAAGCGATAAAAAAAAAGCATTTGAAAACTATTTAAAATCAGCTGAAGCGGGTAATTTCAACGGAATTTGGAAAACCGCTTGGTGTAATTTCTACGGAATTGGCGTGGAAAAGAATAATAGCAAATCTAATGAATGGATTGTAAAGTAAGTTAATTTTTTAATTTTTATTATTTTAAAAATTGCGAACATTTTATACAATTTTAATAATTTATTCAATTTTAATAATTACCAGAGATCATTTATTAGGCGAGTAAGTATAAAAAATATTAATCATTTGAATTAAAAACAGCAAAGCAAGTTCACAAATCAAGAAAATAAATACTTATTTATCATTACTATTATGTAATACACTTTAAATTATTTCATTCGCATTAATTTAGTTTGTGAGTATAAAGAACATTTATTAATCATTAGAATTAAAACAGCAAATCAAGTTCA